TATGGTTTAAAACTTTAGTAGTACTCAAAGGAATGACATGACTGCTAGGGTTGATTTAATGCTCTTTTTAAAAATGTTTCCAGCAATAGCAGTGAATTGAAGCCTCAAGCCTATGCACAGATGCCAGTATGTGCACAAACATGTTTTCTTAAGTCCTGTTTATCTTCACACAAGACGTTTGTCTAGATTTTGGCTTGAGAATTTAAGAATAATGCTCATAGAATACCCCAAATATATGTGTCATGTTATTTTTTTAGTGTACTTAATTATTGAATATCTACTAAAAAATCTTACACTTGTTATTTGTTATGATTCACAAAATGTGTTCCCATAAACACTCCCATTAGAGGCTTCAGCCTCTCAAGCTCTGATTTGGGGCAGATGTAGTCCCCAGAGAATTAGTAAGAAGTCCTGTGTTCTAATAAACCCCTTAACCTATTTGAGCCTTAGTTTCCTCATCTGTAAAAAGGAGATAAAAATACTACCTACCCATAAAGTAGTTAGGATGAAACGAGGTTATTCATGTAAAGACTTAAGCACATAACAAGTTCTCAAATATTAGGTATATTACTAAAAAATGTAATGCTTTTTCCATTATTCCAGGCACAAGTGTGATAGTCAAAACCCAGAGACAATGCATGACGAATACCCAGGGGAAGCGAAGTTTGCAGCTGGAATTTGGGGTGTCTGCCATTAAATAGTGTCTTTTATAGTTGTTTTTGTTTGTTTTTTAGTCATCCTTAAACCCATCTTTGAGAAGATGGTGCTTGGGTATGTTGAGGGACTTTTCATTGTCTTGAGATTTTTCTCTTCCCCTTGTCAACAGGTGACATTTTTTTCTATGAAGTTTTAAAAAAAAAATTCTAGCATAAGCAATGAAAAGAAAGACATCATCTGTCCACATATTCTCTTGCATCAAAGCAGCTCCTTGAGCTCAGGCCAAGCATCAGCAGCTAGTGTGCCCAGGAGCCACTTGGACGTGGCTGAACCGGGGACCTCATCTGACCAGGACAAGGAGATGTCAGGTCTCCTGCCCTCCCCACCACCCCTTCCGCTCAGCTGCTTGGAATCCAAATGTCTGTACCTTTTAATGTTGATGGCTTGGCTCACGAACCTTGGAGCAATCACTGTTAGAATTGGCAGGCCTCCCTGAGAACACAGGAAAAGGGGAGCAAGGACAAAAACCAAGTCTCTAACGCACAGGATGCCTGTGGAGTGGACTAATCGGCTCTGAATCATAGTAGGTTATTTTCTGTAGTCTTCCTGTGGCCTCTTATTCCTTTGAATTCTTGTTATTGCAGATAACACCAGAGTCCCTGGAATTTACAGCTTTGGGAAAGCCTCTGAGGTGTCCCCCAAAAAAACCCACAATGGATCAGCCTTGCACGTGGTCCATCTGTGTACGTTGCGCTGCAGGATCCGCTCAGACTCTCTCCCTCCAGGTTGCTGTTTTTGAACCTCATCCCCTTATTCTCACTTTTTCCACGCCACTCAGTGTCTTGGGTGCTCTTAGTTCCCTCACTGCACTGACGTGTGCCTGCCTGCCCAGCGGTATGACATAAATGAATCTGAGTTTCAGCAATCCTCAGTGTAAAAACTCTTCAGTCAGCTCAGAGCACCACTCAGTGTCTTGGGTGCTCTTAGTTCCCTCACTGCACTGACGTGTGCCTGCCTGCCCAGTGGTATGACATAAATGAATCTGAGTTTCAGCAATCCTCAGTGTAAAAACTCTTCAGTCAGCTCAGAGCAGTCACATATTAACTCGTGTTATCTGACAGGTCCTGCTTGGGGTACCAGTGAGCAGGGCGGTGTGGGATCCCAAGGCTACAGGGCCGAGCCTGGTGTAAGAGCAAAAGCCTTGTACCAGGAGGGAGAGGCTCCAGGTTCCAGGTCCTGTGCAGCCACTAGTGAGTGACCAGCAGCAGGTCACTTGACTGCTCTAATTCTCTGTCTCTTCACCTTACAGATAAGGGGTTGAATCAAATGATTCCTAAGAGATGCTGGGGCTCTTAAGTTCTGTATGTTTACTAGGTGTTAGAGGGCAAGCTCCACAAGAGCTCCCGGTTTCAAAGGCTTTTAACACAAAGTATCAAATTGCTTTTCAGTGAAGTTATTCTTCCGCCACCAACATATGAGTATATAAGGGTGTTTATTTCACAGGACCCTCACCAGCACTAGTATGAGGTGTTTTTTTTTTTTAATTTACTAATATGCTATGTTTTTAATTGGTATTACTCCAACAATGAAATTGAATATTAAATTTTGACTTTGTATTATCTGTGGGAGAAAGTATCACTAAACGAATTAATAATGTAAGCAAGCATTATAATACAGTAATTCTTCCTAGTTCTGGTTCCTCTGTGTCTGGGACCCAGAGATTAAAAGATTTACCAAGGTCACAGTTGAGGGGCATTTTTTACTTTAACTTTCACATTTGCAGCATACTTTAAAAACAATTAGGGTTTTTCTGGCAGGGTTACTACTTAGGAAATTCTAGTTTCTATTACAATATGAACTTGATAGTAGGAAACACCTGCTCTTTAAACAATTTTATAATTTAGGTTTTTCCTTGAACCCCCTGTTATTCCAAAATTAGTGGGATTTCCTGCATTTTTATATAAATGAAACAGCAGAAAGTAATTCAGGCACTCCTGAGCAGTGGTCCTCTGACTTAAGCACCTGTTGCATGTGAGTTATTATCCAGCTGGAGACCGAGTGCTTAACCAGGATGTCCACACACCCATCTACCCCTTTGCGAGGCCCATTCTCACCTCCCTGAGCCTGGAGCCTGGCAGTCCCTCCTCCTGCGCAGGCCTGGTGAAGGTGCTGGGAAAGGGCCTTATTGCAGTGAGCCACCCAAGGTGGATCTCAACACTGAGCTCTTCCCCCAAAAGGTCGTGGTACATGTTCTTACCTGGCTCATCTGTTTTATTGTTGTGTGGGACCTCTTGTAGGCTATCTCAGCCAACCAACCACTGCTGGTAACATTGATTCTACAGGAAAGTGCCCATCAAATTTCAAACCAACACTTGGACCTAACCCTTTTGTGAGTTGGAACATGTGAGTTAGAATGCAGGGGGCCCAGTGACACTTGCTGCTGTTCTTTCAAGCACTGGCCTATCTCCCCATTTGTCTCCTCTTCCTCAGTCTGTCCTACGGGCCTCCTGGCATAGCCTAATCCAGGCCACCGGCATGAAAATCAAACTGGATGGTCCGGGGTGGGGGTAGCTGTGTGCTCTGGCTTTAAATTCACTGAGTGACTTCAGGCTTGAGACCCCAGAGTGGCTGCAAAACCTAAATTCCACATTCATATGGGTGTATGAAATCCATACACTGTAGATACACTCTATAAATGCTGGAGCTTCACAGAATGTGAACATTCTCACACTAGCTTTTACCAGTATGTCTAAGATTTGTGTGGCATTTCCTAAGAATTGATAAATATGAACATTTCTGTTCCTAAGAGTATTTACTAGGTTATAGGTACATTAAGGTTTTGATTGAAAAAAATTTTTAATTGAATTAATTTTGAAACAATAGCACCTCCTGACCCTATTTTTTCTCCAGGGAGAATGGGGAGAGCTGGCCCCTTGTTGTCAGGGAGGCCAGAAGTCCGTGCAGGAGGACAGTTTGGAGAGCTCTTTTCCCTCACATTGGAGGAAGTGGGAGGCATGGTGCCTTATGCCCAGTGGCACATCCTGTGATGAGTGCCCTGAAATTCCCTTGTGCTCCTCACCTCTGAGCAAACCACTAGCTCAAGGCCAAGTTTAAACATTTCAGCCCAACCTCTAGAGTGCAAAGCTTGTATGGGAGCTCTGCTCATGTTCCATTTCCACTCGAACACTTACTGTGTGGTCTCGGGCAAGTTGCTTAGCCTCTCTGATACCTCAGTTTTCCCACCTATAAAATAAGGATAATGTTATCACCCACCTCAGAGTATGTCAGGGATTAAATGAAACGATAGGAAGGCTTTGTGCCATACCAAGCATGTAGCAAGCGCTCAGTAAATGTCAGGTGGTATTATCAGAGTTTTTCCACATTTACTGTAAATTTATGGAACATATTTTAATGACGTATCTATTCTGAGGTTCCACAACTTCACAGAAAATGTAGAAACTTTGGATGAATTTAAAACTAGCAATGACATTACTTAAAGGTTTGGAATATAGCCTGCTAAAACTGCTAAACAATTTCAACTTTATGTAGAAAACATAGGTCTAAAGTGTAGCTTAATTTTTCATTCTTACAAAGATGGCAAAATTGTGTGACATTTGACAGTTTAATTCTTTCCCTCTATCCCTGGAAATAGAGTCACAGGTTCTGGGCTTACATTTGATCAGTCAGGACTTTTTAGAAACAAATAAATAGTTTGGGACCAAATTGTTAGCTGCAGGAATGAGGAGCTGGAAAAAGTCATGCAGGTTTCTTCCCTTGAGTTCCTCCACCAGGGTGAGGGATCCTCCCCTGGCAAGATCAGGACACGGCCCCGATCACCTCAGACACTTTACAGGGCCCACAAACAAGTAAGTGCAGTAGACATGCCAAGCGCTGTGATGCTGCAGCACAAGGTGCCCAGGGACCACAGACAAACGTCCCCAACACACAGGTTGGGGAAGCTCCCCTCGGGGAGGTGGGCCGGAGCAGGTGTCCAGAATGCACAGGAGCCAGCTGGGTGCACTTCTCTTGGGGTGGTGTCTGTTCTGTCACTGGAGCTGCCAACAAGAATTGCTGTGCTGGGCAAATTCAGAAGGCCCAGTGAAACCGCAAGTCTGACCCCATTCACCGAACTTCTTACACTGGGGCAGAAAAATTGGGCTATAGATTTCAAGCTTTGATTATTCCTTATCAGTGGAGGAGTAAAATGCCAATCCTTGTCCTTTTCTTTGGGGTTATATTTCTAAGTTTGTAAATGATTATGTAAAAAGTTGATAACCCACACCTTTCTGGCCTCTTGCTTAGTGACAGCATGCTAAGCTTTCCCTTGTTTCCCTCTCTCCTAGATACTTACTGGAGCAGGATTTCCCAGGCATGAGGATTGGTCCGGAGCCCACCACTGATTCCTTCATCGCTGTGATGTATGGGGATACTGAGGGCAGCACCCCAGGGAATGCTCTAGTCGTGGACCCCAAGAAGCCATTTCGAAAGCTTAGTCGCTTTGGAAATGCTTTCCTGAATCGGTAAGGACCAGCAAAGTACCATCTTTGGTCAGGTTGTTTAAACCTTTTTGAATTATTGCCTGTTACATGCAAAGGTTCAAAAACAGAACAGAGAATGTCTGCTCTAAAAGAGAGAAGTCATAGAAAATATGTTCATCATATTGAAATATTTGAAAGACTGTCATAGGAACTGATCGTTTACACCTACTCAGGGTGGTTTCAGAGGGCAGAACTAAGGTCCAGTATTAGACATTATAAGGACACACAGTATAAGGAACATGAAGTCATAGAAAATATGTTCATCATATTGAAATATTTGAAAGACTGTCATAGGAACTGATCATTTACACCTACTCAGGGTGGTTTCAGAGGGCAGAACTAAGGTCCAGTATTAGACATTATAAGGACACACAGTATAAGGAACACGTTTCTAATCATTTGAGCTGCATAGAAATAGATCAGTTGCCCTGTGAGGCAGTGAGCTCCCTGTCGCCAGCAATGTTGGGTGATGGCCACCTCTCAGGCGTGGTGTGCTGGGGCCTCCTGCAGTCAGAGAGCTTACCCAGAGGACCCCTTCTGCTTCTCACCCCATGCTGTGAACTGCTTCCTTGTTCATTAGAGCAGGGCAGGGAAAATAGAGTCAGTACACAAAAAGTTAATTTAGTTACATCGTCATTATCTTATAGACGTAAAGTTGTGGGATTACTGAGGATCTGTCTTAATTGGAGATGTGTTTTATTTGTAAAACCTTTTGCCAGAGTTCCCAGTGAAACTGAGGGGTGTTGGGGGCTGTGCGGGGAGAACAAACCAGCTGGTTCTCCCTGCTGCAGCTCTGCCCTCTCGGACATGTACCTCCCTCCCCCTCCTCCTAGTCTTTTTTTTTTAAACCCTTTTCTGATCTTTCTTATTATTCCCCCTCCCCCACTCCCACCCCTCCATTTTTCTCTTTTATGAATCTGGCTTTGGCTTTAAAGTGGTTGATTTGGGGAGTGGGTTATGGGATGTTCAGAGCTAGGGAGGAATAATTCGAGCTTCTTTAGAGAAAAGAAGTAGGATTAGAGTTGACAGACAATAGGATACTTGAACTGCACTTCTCCTTTCTAGATGTTTTTAAAAATAGAAACAGACTCTCCCAGCTGGCTGCTGTCCTCCCAGAGGCTCAGGTGCCTAATTGCACAACTCCAGGGGGCGCCATTCACATGGGCTATGGAACAAATGATATGCCAGGTGCTGTGCAGTGGCCTTGCGGGGGGGGGTGGCCCAGGCAAACCTCCACAGGTGCCTTCCATAAAAAACTGAACTCTCTAGGGATCTGAACTCTCCTTTAAGGGTTTTTTAGTGCTCATTCACATGGGCTATGGAACAAATGATATGCCAGGTGCTGTGCAGTGGCCTTGCGGGGGGGTGGCCCAGGCAAACCTCCACAGGTGCCTTCCATAAAAAACTGAACTCTCTAGGGATCTGAACTCTCCTTTAAGGGTTTTTTAGTGCTCCTATTGCGAATCAAAAAAGCATTCAAGTGGTAGCGAGGGAATTTGGCAATGGGATAAACAGAAATGCACAGAGGATGTAGATGGACTCATAGAAAAGTTCTGTCTTATCATTGATGCTGATTTGCAGAACACTGTGCAGATGATATTTTCCATCCTGCAGATTCTCTTCTCTGGGATTTTACTCTTTAACTCCAGAGCAGCCTTGTTTGGCACCAGAGTGTCTCCTTGGGAGAACTAGAGGTTGAGCCCAGGCTGGGAGAACCCCAGAGGATCAACTCTCTGGGTCTCTCAAGACAGACTGGACCAGAGTTGAGGGTATGTGGGACAAGAAGCTTCCCTATCGGGGCCTCCCTTGGAGCCATGGACATAGGGCAGGCATCAGCCAGACTTCTTATCCCAGGACTGGACCTGGAAGGTTCCAGAGGCCCCGGAAAACGCAGGGCACAGGATCCATCTCCGTGGAAGGCTAGTCTGGAATCCTGTGGTCTCCTTACCACTGCCCTTTGTTTTATTTGCCTTTTCCCTGACAAAAGCTTAAAAAAGAAATGTTAGCACTTTTTTCAAATTCCCATTTGTAAAATTCCATATTCACAAGGGAGCAACCACAGGAAGAGTGGCTATTGGCTGTATTTTGGCCAATGATTTACTTTCCCAACAAAAACAAATTTTTTTTCAAATCCCAAACACACAGAGGGCGAGTATGAAAAGAAGCATTCAGGAAAGATTTTGAAAGGCGAGGTTCATTATCTCAGAATTTACAACTGTGGAAATAATTCATGAATTATATAATCAAGTGTTAATTGAACTCAGAATAATACATAGAAAAATAAATATGCATTTACTGTGTGTCAGATAATGTTCCAAACTTTACTTGTATATTAGCTTGAAATCCTCACAAAAACCCTGTGATATGGCTGCTACTATTATCCCCAGTGGAGAGAGGAGTAAGGCATAGAGAGGCTATTTTAGAGGTTAGTTGGCATATGGAGTGCTGGGATTGGAACCCAGAGCATGTGGCCACAGAGTCCTGCTAGTGACCACTCTACTGAGCTGCCAAACGGTATGCTGTTTGGACTAAGAGTCATTACCTACTGTCCCCTATTTAACTTTTAAGTCTGTCCCTAATATAGCCTTCCAACAATGATGATGAAGATGATAGTATTAGAATTTACGTAATTTCATATATGCAATTCTTTTGGTGTTAATAAGACAGATGATACTATGGCCAATCTACAGATGAGAAAACTAAAAGCAAAGAAGTGACTTGCTCAAGAAGAGGCCATCAGGAAGAGGCAGAGACAGGATTCAGGTTTCTCCTTCCCTCCTGTCCACCACCCTGAGCCTCCACCAAAGCACCAGCAAAGAGTTTCTGTTGTCCTGGCCATCATGGTGACCATATGTGTGTCAGGATCACATGAAGGGATGTGCCTCATGTAAATTCATGTCATACGTGAGAGTAAGACATAACCTGATTAAGTAGTGTCCACATGACAGTGCTGCTGTTCCACACAGCACTATTTAAGAGAGAGAGTCAATTAGTGTAGGGCGCCCAAATGTGTGTACATAATTATAGGATCTCTCTGGGAACATCAGCAGGATTAGCTCTAAAGGGTGAAGTGCTTTTTACATAGCATATTTTGGGTCAAAATATAACACTTAGTAGTAAAGAAAATTGGTTGTTTGCTCTGGAGAACTTTCTCCCCCAGCCAACCACCAGATTCACCCCTGGGACAGGTCACCATTACCTGGCCTTCTCCTTATAGGGTGTTGGCTTGGGCATCTGCCCCCAGGGGCACCTTTAAAAGAGTGAAATACTTCCAAAGGTGGTACCAGGTGATAGCTGGAGGGTGACACCACTGCCCACACCTTAAGTAAGCCAGTGGAGCCTAAATCTCAATCTCTCTCTTTTTTTTTTTTTTTCTGCTTCTTGTTTTTGTTTTTGGCGGCTGGCCAGTAAGGAGATCCAAACCCTTGACCTTGGTGTTAAGAGGCTGTGCTCTAACCATCTGAGCTAACCAGAACACTGCGCTCTAACCAACTGAGCTAACCAGCCAGCCCCCCTGAATCTCAGTGTCCAAGGCTAGTTTCTAAGAGAGTAACAGGGGTCTACAGTGCATTTCTGAGAAATGAAGATAAATTGCCAGAAAGGTAGGTTCAGATGATGGAAATTCCATACTCAAACAAGAGAAGGAGCTGAGTCCAGAACAAAAAGAGCCCTGTGGAAACAGCTTTACTGGGACATTACCCCACCACACCACTACTTCAGAGAGAAATGCACAGGCGGCCTGTCTTGGAGCTGCTTCATGGGAGCGTGGTTATTGACCTTCCAAAGTCTGGTATCAGGAGGCAGCAGCACCAGAACATGCAGGTCCTGGGAGATGCCCGTATGTTTTGGTCAGTTCAAGAAGTGCCAGGGGGCCGGCCCGTGGCTCACTCGGTAGAGTATGGTGCGGATAACACCAAGGCCGTGGGTTCGGATCCTATATAGGGATGGCCGGTTTGCTCACTGGCTGAGCGTGGTGCTGACAACACCAAGCCAAGGGTTGAGATCCCCTTACCGGTCATCTTTTTTTTTAAAAAAAAAAAAGAAGTGCCAGGGATTGGGGTCTGATATTTTTCATCTGCAGTCTGCTTTTGAATTGGATGTTACGTTTTTCCCTCAATCTACTTTTCTAAAAATGGTAGTATTTTTTAAAATTAAAATAGCTACAGACATTGTTTTTCATTTAGGATCTATTATAATTTTCAATTGTAGTCTTCCATAGAAGAGATTCTTAATCTCATTTACTTCTCCATTGCCTCCATTTCTTTTTGAAAAATAACTTTAATCACTGGCCCTAGGAATTGTAATTTTGAAACTTCCTTTTGAGCTGGAGGAATCTGAACAGTCCTTTCAGTGTTTAGTTATTTCAACCAGGCCTGACAATGGTGATGGTAATGATAAAAAAAACAGTCTTAACGTTTGTATGAAGATTTAGCTATCATAGAATACACAGGTGTATTCTTGGACTTATACTCCATTTGTTACCTCTATGTAATTAAATGAGGCTTCATTCAATATAGCTTTTTTGAATTTTGAATATTACAGAGTCATTTATGTACCACTGGGAATTTTTTTAAAACTGACACTGCAAGTACACAGCATCAGTCCATACACATGCTGGCTCCACCAGCTAATTTAGCTGGAGAAATTAAGAAAAACAGGCTCTTGCCAAGAATCACTCTTTTTTGGAGGCGGCAGCTGGCGAGTTCTGGGATCTGAACCCTTCACCATGATGTTATCAACAGCACGCTCTAATCAAATGAGCAACCGGCCAGCCCAATAATCACTCTTGATTCATTAGCAGAAAAAAACCAATTGTTTTTAATCTGAAAGAATAACTGGGATGTTTTTGTGGTTCATTTATCTGTAATAAACGTGCTGAAGCTTTTCCCATTAACCTTTAACCTCAGGATTTGTGGTGGCTCCTGGGTCATTGTACCATTGTTGTTGACAACCAGCTTTACTCCCTGGTCTCCAGACCTTCCTGGCTGGTGCACTGCACCTGGTTTTCCCCCATGGCAGTCAGGAGAGGATTTATAAAAGTACACTTTTAGGTTGAGCCATATGAAATTGGAAGTCCTCAACCATCTTTTACCTGTAAAAGTGGTAATTTCATAAGATTAAATCTAAGCAGAAACCAGGGGCTTTTATATAGTCTGAATGTGAAATTCATTTCCTTCTGGGCACTGGAAAGTTACAGCAGCCATTTGTGGTAGGGCCATAAAGTAATAATGATTATGGTTTAGTTGTCAAAGTCTTTTTGTAGATTGTATCCTATTTAGTATGCAAATTTAGGAAGTCATATCATCTCTCTGGTTTTACTCTCATCAGTGAAGTGGGTTGGGGTCAAAGGAGGTGCTTTGAAATAGCTCTGTGCTCTCTCCATTGTAAGCTTACGTTTACTTGAACCTAATGACAAACCTGGGAGTTCATGGTGCTGGCAGATTTGCTTAGAGAGGTTTAGAGACCTACACACAGTAAAGGTTGCAGGTCTCCCGCTTCCTGTTCACTGCCCTGACCCTCCACACAAGCAGCACAAGGAATCCTCTTTGGAGGAGAGTTCCAGGACTGTGGCATATCACTTCTTTGTTCTAGGACATTGCCCAGTGTGTGATAAAGGCACACAATGGGGTTTCAAATGTGTGCGATGGTAGTAGCGGCCCAGTAGTTGAGAACCTCAACTGCAGTCAAGACACCAGATTAACATCCTGACTCCATCACTTGCCAACCATGGGACTTGGCAATTTCTGGTGTGTGACCCCTCTATGCCATGTCCCCTGCTTTGTCAGATGGAGGCTCACAGCCATAGCTACCTCTGAGGTTGTGGTGAGGATCGAGTTCCTGTGCATGGAGAGTGCTTAGGACAGGGCCTGCCACACAGTAAGAGGTCAGTCAATGTTGCTGCTTTTTTATTATTATTGTAACTACTACAGATATTACTTTTTATTGAGAAATCAAAATCAGTATGAAGGTACTGTCTGGTTCTTTTAAAAGTCTAGTATTTTAAATGCTGATCACTGAATTGGAATTTTAGCGTTGGGAGGCGATTTTGAGTAATCAAGTCGTCTCGCCCCCCAGTTTTACTGCGCAGCAGGACTCCAGCAACTTGCCTGAGACCTTACAGCCGATACCATTACTTTCTCCCCCTACCCCCGATCTGCTATGCCTGAGCCTTCCTCAGACATGGGATGACATGGAGTGGGTCCAGCGTAGGATCTTGGTTGCTCCCTCCCCTTCTTCTACTTCAGAACACAAGATTTATCAGGTCTGCCCGGGTGGGGAGACACTCACAAAAGCTGAGAGAGGCTCCTGGTTCAACCAGCACATGTCTGCATATTTAATATGAAATGCAGAAGGCAAGGCACAGATACACTTTGTGTGAGTCACCACTGCAGGAAGGAGTAGGAAATCCATCTCGGGACAGCAAATCTACACTTGGAAACATTTCAGCAGAAGCGCGTGAGCAGGGACGGCCTGACGTAAGGCCAACTGTGAGATACGCGATAAATAACCTTGGTTTTCCCCTCCCTTTCTCAAAGCAGAAGGGTAAGACGCAGCTGCTGTAACAGCACTAGGTCTTTTTCCCAATTACGATATGACTTTTTCAGAGCACACGTGTATGTAGTTGTAAGCTCACCGTGGTATTGTGGCCCCCGGGGGCCTGGCTGCTGGCTGTGCTCTATGCTCCCTGCCACCCCACCTGACGCTTTCTTCCTGGTGTGGAGCCCAGCTTCGCACTCAGGACCCTGGCCCCTGGGCCCTCCTCCTCCTTTTCCTTTGTTCCGCAGTGTCCTTGGCCCCCACTGTGCTCCCTGCGTGCCGGGCAGGGACGTGAGCTCCGCTCCCTGCTTCTCACTTCGTGGCTCGCTGCACGTTGGCCTCTGTTGTGTCAGGAGGCCTGAGCGTTGTTGAAACACTGTCACTTCACAGTATGTACGTTTTGAATCCTTCTGTTAGCCTCACCCTAGAATCCAGGGGTTTTGTGTTCTGGAAAAATGGAGATTGAGTGTGAGCTTGTAGTTTTGGAAAAAGGTCAGCCCCTCTACAGGAGTAGCTTGAGAAAATAGCATCACAGAGGTGAAAAACTTGTCCAGCATTGCTAAATGTCCCAGGCCATTTGAAAGAAAGCAGGGCCTGTGATGGGAGACTAAATCATCACTGACAATGAGTGTGGTCGACCCCAGATGTGCTCAGAACTCAGCTCCTACCCCCGCTCTAGGGAATGGAATGGCAGCATTTTTTTCTCTGTGAACGTACCAAGTGTGTGTTCATCTCTGCACTCTTTACGCTCACAGGTCTGCTGTCCCAGTGTTGGGCAGCAGGGTTGATTTAAAGGCTGGGGTGCAGGAGGGGCAGCAGAAAAGCAGACATGAGAGGTTCTTAACTTGACAGGTGGAGTTCTACTCAACTGACGTCAGAAACAGTCATATGAGGTTATATATGAGGTTGCCATCTCAGCCAGCCATGTGTTTGCAGCACGGCCTCGAGACATCACACAACTGTGCTTCAACCTTTACAGCTGAAAAGGACCTTTTCCTACATCTACCCAGGCTGATCTGAAAATTTAAGAAAGAATGTATGAAAAATTTGCCCAGAGCCCCTTCAAAGAGAGTGATTTTGAAATGTCACCAATTGCACCTCTGGCCCAGAGCTGCCCTCCCCTGCCCAGTGGGCCGTGCCTCCCACCCTGCCCATGGGACTGTGCCATCCACATGTGCCCTGTGGAGGCTGGGCTGGCCTCCCTGTCCTACATCCCCAGCATATTTACTTTCTGAGAAATCCCCACTACTTCCACTGAATGGAAGAATTGAGCTTTTACCAAGTGTTTTCAAGCTTTCAGCCTTTACAGATAGAGAAGTTAGCCATTTATCGTACAAGAAAAGGAGAGTCATACTAAGTTTCCACCTTAAAACATACACAAAGATCCAACCCAGGCTCTGTTGCCTGGGGTGGGAGTAACAAAGCACTAACTACCGTTGCTTGTATAGTTACACCGTGTTAAAACTGGAAAGGACATTGCCAGACTCTGGGCCAGATGTCTTCATTTACACATGAGGAAACTGAGGCCCAGAGGGGGAAGGCCTTTGTCCAGGGTCCCTGGCAAAGGCTGAGCAGAACCTGAACCCAGGTCTGCTGACCCACAGGCCAGAATTTTCTCCCACACCACTTGACTCCCAGGGCACAGATGCCAGGGCAGCTGCCCAAAACAATAGCAAGAATGACCAGGATCATAAGGTAGAGATGGTACCAAGCAAGCGAGGGATGAGGAAGGAGGCTTGGAGGTCCTCAACAAGGGCCTCCCGCAACCCACCCCTTTGCCTGTTCTCCGGGTGACCCTAGGACTCCTAAGCACCTGGAGGATGTGGGGTGTTTCCCACAGGTGCCTCCCCTGACTGGGCCTGAAGCCATAAGGGGCACGGGACTGGATGCTGAGTTCCTGGGGCATCAGACAGGGAAACAGGCCCCAGTACCTCTAGCTCTCATATTGGGGAATGTGCAGGGCCTGGACAGGGAGCTCAGGGAACTCTGGCCCAGTGGAGCAGTGCACCCTGAAGGAGGCATGGGATTCCCTGCAAGGATCAGCATGGAGGAGGGGGAGGTGAGGCTCATAGGCTTTGAAATCAGGCTGACCTGGGTTTAAGGTCCTGGTCTGAGTGACTCTGAGCAAGTTACTTACCCTCTCTGAGTTTAATAGCCGTTTCTTCCTCATGATTAACATGAGGATCAAATGAGATGATGTCTGTAAAATATCTGAGTGTTCAATAAATGTTAGCTAAAATCAAAATTACCACTAAGGGACCCGGTGGCAGGTAGCAACAGGTGCCAGCCACCTCCCATACCTGTCCCATGGACCAGCATCTGTCCTCCATGGCACCACTGGAGTTGCCGTCAATCTCTTCCAAGCCCCTACTCTGCAGTTGACTTCATTATACATCTTTAGTCTCTGTCAATCTCCTCCAAGCCCCCACTTTAGAGATGATGTCAGTAAGCCTGGAAAGGCCAAAGAGCCTACAGTTAGAGCCCAGCTTTTCACCCCACCTTTGGTGTGTCTCTTCCAGATTCATGTGCTCCCAGCTGCCCAATCAGGTCCTGAAGAGCATCAGCATCATCGACAGCCCTGGCATCCTGTCTGGGGAGAAGCAGCGCATCAGCCGAGGTCAGTGCCCCGTCCCCCGCCTCCCTCACCCAGTGCTGTCTGAGGCCCTCTCCTGTTTGAGCAGAGGAGTTCTGTCCCTATCATATTCTCTCCATTCTCCAGGACAGCCACAGGCCAGGGCACCCCACAGCATCCCTGGGCCGCTGAAGGGCCCAAGGAACAACCAGGAGGTCATAGCATTAAAGGCTCTGCCATTTCAACTAAGAAACTTTCTGGAGTCTTAGCCATAATCTCCTATCTACCCACCTCAGCATTCAAGAGGGGAAACATTCCTGGCTAACAATTCACTTGGACACATATGACAAAAAAATAAAGGAAGCCAGCTGGTCAGAGGGAGGAGAGAAGCCCTTCTGCTGCTCTTCCTCCCTCCGCACTGCACGAATTCCATCCAGCAGCCCTGCAGCTCCTTCCACTGAGCAAGCCTCTGTGTGGTGTCTACTGGGGAGCAGACACCGTGCTGCACACTGGGGATGCAGCAAAAGCAGGTGCAGTTCTGCCCTCAAGAAGCTTAAGTTCTATGAGGAAGACAGACATTAATCAAGTTATCGTATAAATAGATGGAAGATGAGAACCAGGATAAACACTATGAGATGTCGGCCACACATCAGGGTGTGAGGAGACCTGGCCTGGCAGTGGGGTGTTGGGAGAGGCTCCCCAGAGGATGCAGCCAGGATATGGAGGATGAGTGGAAATTACCTAAGGGAAGCTCTGGGGTGGGGAAAGAGAGGCTGCATGTGTTTAGAGGAGATCTAGAAAGAATGGAGAATGCTTGTAAAGAACAATGAATCTGGGCATCTTCAGCCTTCAGAAGATGAGGCTGAGGCAGCAGTTGTTGCATTGTGGTTTAAACAGATGCGCCCGCTGTTTCCCCTCCCTCCTGGAGAAGGGGCCATAGGGGCAGACCAGAGGACACAGTAGACATAGACAGGAAATGCCTGGCCGGGAGGGCATTAGGATGGATTCCTACAGCCACGGAAGCAGGTCAAGTAATTCCCTCACCCTGGCCTTTGAAACAAAGGATGGTTCCTCGAGGCTTTGCTGGGAGGGAGGAGATGGAGCAGATGAATTGCTGCTGTCACTGCTTGCTAATAATTCTTCACAGCCCTTTGGAAGCAAGTCAGTAAAACTATGCTGAGAAGTGCTGGCCTGCCAAAGGTGAGCAGTGGCCTGTCTGGGGTCACAGCCATGGGTTATGGCCAGCCAGTGACCTCCCCCACAGCTCATGAGGCAGAAGTGTAGTCACACAGGCTGTGCAGGGTCCCATGACAGGGTAATGAGAGGGCTCCTGAGGCCAATAAGCACCCTTTGCTCGTGGCATTTCAGAAGCACCAGCTCTGCTGCTTCCATGGACCCGCAGAGAACTCAGGGCTGCCCTGAGCTGAGGCCTTCCCAGGGCTGGCCCTGCTATGCCTTCGCAGCTCAAGAGGGCCCACGATGCCCAGGCCAACCTGAGACTTCCAAGAACACCGTGAGGTTTCAGAAAAGAGCGGGTTAATAGTATTCTTCCCTGTTAGATGTAAAGGATTCAAACAATGAATAAGGAGCAAAAAAAAAAAAAAAAACCTCTTACTGTCACAAATAACAATGATTAATGACTTTTTCTGGCTCCTTAGAGACTTTTTCCTATGCATGTATAAACACACCATTTTTAACAGAAATGTGATTACCGTGCATATTTTCTACAACTTGATTTTTTGCCATAGCAGTCTATCTCGGACATCATTCCATGCCAATTATTCAGATTATTTTATTCCTTTTAACAGCTGCTTGACTTCCATTAAAGGAATAATAATATAGTTTATTTAACTAATTTGTGGATATCATGATTGTTAATAATTTTTCACTCTTACAAATAGTGTTATAGGTGGTCATCTTTTTTTGTGCATCTTTACACCTCGGTGCCAATAAATTTTTTGAAGAGCCAGTTTAGCACCATGAATTTGGACCCAGACTCTTCAGATAAAATGTTTTGTTTTAAAAGGAAAATAAAGCAAGCATGCCCCACAGCCTTTTTAAGCTGCCCTTATTTCTCTACTTGTACATGTCTGACAGAAATATGCTGGAGAAGTATGTGGTCCTGGGCTGGCCCGTGGCTCACTCGGGAGAGTGCGGTGCTGATAACACCAAGGTTGCGGGTTCGGATCCCATATAGGGATGGCCAGTGCGCTCACTGGCTGAGCGTGGTGCTGACAACACCAAGCCAAGGGTTGAGATCCCCTTACCGGTCATCTTTTAAAAAAAAAAAAAAAAGAAGTATGTGGTCCTGGTAAATCTTTCTTTTTACCTCTAAATTTTGAGACCTCTAGACTTTGGCTTCCACCTTATCCATTTCTTTTCACTGGTAGGCCCTTGACCAATTCTAACCATCCATGTTCTTTAGAGTTTCTCCTTTACTTAGTAATTATAAGTGTCTTTCAAACAGTAGCTCCTTTACAATAGTGCTAAAGCATAGCATAATGTTTTCAGTATGCTTTGAAGATTGTTTCTTTCTATCACTTTATAATATAATCTGACTCATATCCTGGTTGGACTTACTGTGGCATGTACTTACTCACATCCTATGCACAGAAATAGCACATATGGTTCGAGCCAGTCAGCTGGTCCCTGCCACTGACGGACATAGCAACTGGTGGGGAAGGACTGAGGGCCACAACAACTGCACTACAGACTGTGGCAAGGATTCCCAAGCCTGGGTGCCATATGGTGTTCAGGACACATTGGTGGTTGGAATCACTGACGTCTTTAACATATGTACTCCACAGAATATGTAGTATTTCAAAGTTGCTTCAGCTTAAACTGTTGCAAATAGTGCTGCATTCTCACATCTGACCACTCGTACATCCAGCCCTCCAGCCTCAGCCGATCACAGCCCCATCTTCACCAGGAATGAGTGTCAGCACTGGGTGATAGAGTAGGTACAGAATATGACCCCACAAGACATTTATACCATCACTTTTGACGTTCTGGGTGGGGCTTTGCCTCCTTACGGTGTTGTGCCTATGTGAGGAGAAAGGGGGCAGCTGATATGCGAGGAGAAAGGGGGCAGCTGACGTTCCCTCCTCCCTTCCTTCTCCTTTTCCCTTGTGTGGCCAGTGGATTAACCCTCAATAAGCTGAGTACTTGATCCTCATCCAGGAGGTCCCTTTTACATATTTAAAGAGTCTATTTGAAGTGTGCATTAATAATGGTATGATAACTTTTACCATGTAGTGAGCTCTCACTGTATGTCTACACTGTGCTAAATCACAGCCCCATCTTCACCAGGAATGAGTGTCAGCACTGGGTGATAGAGTAGGTACAGAATGTGACCCCACAAGACATTTATACCATCACTTTTGACGTTCTGGGTGGGGCTTTGCCTCCTTACGGTGTTGTGCCTATGCGAGGAGAAAGGGGGCAGCTGACGTTCCCTCCTCCCTTCCTTCTCCTTTTCCCTTGTGTGGCCAGTGGATTAACCCTCAATAAGCTGAGTACTTGATCCTCATCCAGGAGGTCCCTTTTACATATTTAAAGAGTCTATTTGAAGTGTGCATTAATAATGGTATGATAACTTTTACCATGTAGTGAGCTCTCACTGTATGTCTACACTGTGCTGTTTAGGATTTATTGTCTAATTTAAGCCTGAACACAGTCATGAGACAGAAACTCAGCCCTGGTCAAGGAGAACCCCCTCACTATTATTCCTCCAGGAAAGCAGAGTCTTGCGGTGGTCATGAGAATTTTTCCCAGCTACTGGCAGATGGGTGACCAAGCCCAACACCTGGGGAGTGGACAGAGTAAAATTATTGACAGGGTGCCACATTGGAGAACAGGCTCAGAGGAGCGACTGCTTCCCACAGCAGCTAAAGGCTGCAGCTATGTGGGAACCAGCGCACCTTCAAGCCTGAGGGAAGGCTGCGCAAACCCTGGGCTGAGCTTGTTGGGAAGGAGGCATAGCTGTGCAGGAGTTAGG